AGAGGGGAGGAGAGAAGAGGAGGAGAGAGGAGAGGAGAGGAGAGGAGAGGAGAGGAGGAGAGAGGAGGCTGTGACTGGCTGGCATGTGAAACACACCAGGACAATGGAGAGGTGATTGAGGAGTGACCGTCCAACCAGCCTGGTGCTGCTGTGGGAGCTTCCTGTACGGACGGCGTGCACGCTGAGGCTGAGCGCTGACCTCTGACCTCCTAAAAACACAGAATACCTCCGCTGACATGTTTAGTGCACATTCTGTAACGTGTACGCTGCAGAGTGGGGCACAATGGAGGCAGTAAAACAGGGGATTATGGGATATGTTCTCTGACATCACCGACTATATTTAGTGAAGTGTCAAATTTATGCAGAGAAAAACCTCTCAGTCCATGTTTAGACAAGTTTAATTAAATCGGAATCATTAAATATTGTGTTTATTTATAACTTGTTGTTTAAATGGAGGTAATTTAAGATTTCCTTGAACCTTCTGAGAGAAGCTATCATGCGTTTACACATACAGCAACAGTAACACAACAAACCTTCAGCTTTCTGTCAGAAACATAGACTAACTTTTGCGACGATGCTGTTTGTTTTTGGATCACTGTTTTAACTAATTGGATCCAATCTGTTGTCACCATGGCAACATCTACTCCTGGTTTTCATGACAAATGGGAGCTTCATCCGTAATTAGTATAAAGCAGAGATAGAACATTATAATTGTACTATTAGAACCCACGTGAGGCGCGCTTCTGCTCTGTAAGAACAGCCTGTGGGTTCATGAGAAGTTAAACAGTCCGGCGTCATCACCGAGTCAGGACGCTGCTCACTTCCCCACAGTGAACTCACGACAGCCGCGAGATGAAGAGAAGAAAACTGGAAATGAAACAGCAGCGAGGGGAAAGACGTGGGCGATATTTTGATCTGTGATCTAATTTTAGCTCAGCATCGGCTTCAGATAGAAACCTCTCCATAAATATTCATGAATGGAGGAAGAATCTGCTGCTGTGTGATGCTGAGAGCGAGAGGGGAGGGCTCTGTGCTCTACCTGAAAGCCTATTTTTAGCCGCAGCGTTGCCACTCTCGGTCTATTCCCCATGCAAGGGGAGGCTAAATTTAGCCGCATGGAGACTGAAGCGTGGTGCAGGAGCAAAAATAGAACCGAGTTTGTGGTCAGAGCACGCAGGAGCAGCCATGGGTGCAGCATCACTAGGGAGGACAGAGCAAGATGGATGGAGTAAGCAGGAGCAATAAGCAGTGAGGAGAGGGTTAGGGCTCCGGGCTGCACCCAGATCAGATCACACACATTATAGGTGTGTGGCTCTGCACCACCGTACACATTATTTACACATGTACATTTCACATTTTTATGTCAGGATCGTGGTCGGTCCATGCCTGTGGCGCACAGTCACATCCACACTCGTACATCTGCAGCCACACTGGCACCGTCACACTGTGTACAGCTCAGAGCAAAACCCTCACACACATGTCTCAGAACAGCCTGTTCCCTCTTCCTCTTTGATATTTCAGTTACTCTCTGTGCCTGTTTTACCTCAGCCTGACTCTCCCTCTCCGGCAGCATGTAGTGCAGTCAGTGTGTCTGAATCTGTCACATGAATGGGGCCACATCAGCCTCTGCTCAGCTGCTGTTACGTAACAGCCAGTAACACACCAACGTCTTGTACTCATGCAGCATCCTAGGAGGGTAGCAGGGTAAGTAGATGGAGGGGAGGGGGAGAGAGGAGAGAGCAGGAGGAGAGGAGTGAATGGGATGTTTGCCTGCTTTCAGCCTGGATTCTTCACTGCTGTCAAACTGTTGCATCAATGACGATAAATGCTGCTGTTTGTAGCCCTGCACTGCCTTGGTAGCAGCATCCATGAATGAATCCTACCGGGGCTGCAGGTGGCTCGGTGGTTGGCGTCCCGGTGAGGACACCCGGGATCTTTCTGCGTGGAGTCTCCATGTTCTCCCCGTGCAGCGTGGGTTCTCTCCGGGTTCTCCGGCTTCCTCCCACAGTCCAGAAACATGCTGAGGTTAATTGGTGATTGTAAATTGTCCGTAGGTGTGAATGTGAGTGTGCTTGGTTGTCTGTCTCTAAGTGTAGCCCTGTGATAGACTGGTTACCTGTCCAGGTGAACCTGCCTTCACCCTGAGTCAGCTGGGATAGGCTCCGGCCCCCACCACCCCAGTGAGGATTAAGATGTAGAGATGATGGATGGATGGATGGATGGATGGATGGGCCTCAAGGCTGACATTTGTGAGTCTGATGGAGAGATCTGACAATCTGTTGGATGGATTGCCCGTGACGTTTGGTTTAAACATCACCGTCCACCTCTGAATAAATTGTCATGATTTTGATCATGTCTTCATTTTCCATGTGGTGGCTTCATCAACTCTCAGCTTTAGATGGTATGACCAGGATCCTGCATAACGAATGATATCCTCGTCATCCTCAGCTGCGCTCTTTGTTTTACATTAATTACAGCCCTTTGTGGTCTGTTGCATAGAGTTAATAGAATCAAACCATACGTAGCTTCTTATATAGCCTCACACAGCTGCACATTTACCGTTGTGTTGTTAACTCTTAACACATTCTAACCCATAGCTTCAGATTTTCTTTCTTAGTTTTTACGCTTTTTGCATATCACCTCGTCTGCTGTATTTATTTGACAAAGGTACAGTGTGTGTCTCGGTGTGGGCCCGTCCAAAACCCTCCACGTTCTGCTCGCGGTTGTTTTGCTAAAGTGTAGATTTTCTGCTCTGGACTTCCTCAGACTGCTGGATGGGAGACGTGCTGCCGAACGGAGCTGCCGGCCGACGAAGGCTCTCAACATGTCAGCATAGGGCTGTGGGAAAGTAGAGATGTGGATCAAGACAGAAACGTGCCCAGACTGCAAAGAATGACCTGGCAGTGAATCCATTTGGTGTTTTTCTCTGTAGTCACATCGTGTTTGATCAGGAGGAACTCCTCCTCACCTGAACGCTGCGCTATTTTTAGGCCCACGCTCACATGACCCCACGTCAATATCCTGATGCTAATTCTGTCCTCGCTGTTCACTCACAGTCCTTCAGCACACGCACACGCACACACACACACACACACAGACACACACACACACACACACACCTGTAGTGAAGAGCACATCGTGCGCTCCGTGCTGTCACCCGGTGTGTGACTGCTCCGGCTGCCTGACAGTCTGTGTTGATCTTGGTTTACTAAAATTCTTGCGAGGCAGCAGATGGAGGGACTTTACTGTCGTCTGCTCTTCGTGTCTCATCCCTCTGATGACACATTTAATGGCTCCGCAGGTCAGTTATTCTAATGATCGGTCAGCTGCAGCACCATCATTATTCACATGCAGCCCTCTGAACTGGGCTTTCAGCACCTCCTCATTCTGATCTCAGTCTCATTTTGTTGTTTTTTCTTATCTGCTATTGTTGAACTGTGGTGCTGATTTTAGCTCTCTGGGATGTATGAGTGTGATAATTGTATTCCCACATATTTCACAGTGTCACGTCCTTTTGGAGGCCCTTCTAAATGTGCAGCTTGTTGCCCTCTTTGTGGTCTTTACTGGCTTATAATGGCTACACTTCCTTCTATGTTGCACGATTTCCTGTTCAAGGGATAAAAACAGCAGCATGTCGCTGCCCAGTGACGAAAGCTTGAGATATTTTTAGACGAGGAATATTGTATATTTGATTTGTTTTCTCCCCTTCCTCCTTACTGAAGCAGTCTCAACTCTTCCAAACTGAAACCGAAGTCACCAAGTGAACTCCACAGTTCATTTGTGTCACTCTTAAATTCATGTTGCCTGCAGCGTTCACACCCACAGCGCACACCGGCTCACTGGAAATGACCCGTCAGTCAGTCAGTGTGTTCCTGTTGACAGCAGCTTTGCAGTTGTTCTCTGATGCTGAAGGTGATGAACAGACTCACGCAGGACAACATGAGTCCTGTTGCACACATGCAGGCTGTTTCCCTCTGTGAGAGAAATGTACAGCTATGGCTCAGGCTGTGGCTCAGGTGGTAGAGTGGGTTGTCCTCTGATCATAAGGTTGGTGGTTCCATCCCCTCCACAGTCCAAGTGTCCTTGGGCAGGACACTGGACCTGAAGTTGCTCCCAGTGGCAGCTCTGTCACCGTTGGAGTATGAATGTGTGTGAATGAGAAACACAGTAATGCGCTTTGAGTGCTGCTAAGGTAGAGCAGCGCTGTATAATGCATTCCATTTGCCATTTACCATAACTAGTGGTAGGAGTGTCTTTGCTCGGTTGATATGAGGTGGAAATGTTGTCAGCTCCTGTGTGGAGAGCAGGCTGTCCAGGATGGATGCAGGATTCCTTCTTTCATGTCCTTCGCATGCTTTCCGTGCCTTAAATCAATGTGTTTATTTAATTCATAAAATGTGTTTTAGGTCATCTAACAAATTCTTGCTCCTCTTCTGTCTTTTCAGTTTCGATGTGGAGAATGGGTTATCGGTGGGACGCAGCCCCCTGGACCCCCAGGCCAGTCCTGGTTCTGGTCTGGTCCTACAGGCTAACTTCCCTCACAGCCAGCGGCGGGAATCCTTCCTCTACCGCTCGGACTCAGACTTCGACCTTTCTCCTAAAGGCCCTTCCAGAAACTCCTCCACTGCCAGTGACCTGTAAGTTCATTTCTAACTAAACTGTTCAGCGCCGTTGGAGCAGTAAAATGTTTGAGGTGTTGGGTCTTAGCGAGGATGGCTTGTCCATGTGTCTCCTGATGATTTTCTCCCCTTATATGAGTCCACTGCCTCTTCTGGTTTATTTTCACATGTTGGCATCTGAATGGATTCCAAAAGTTCTCTGGGATTAATAAAGTCAGGCTAAGTCTAAGTCTAAGTTGAAAGCGTGCTTTCTAGAACTTAAAACAACATCGGACTGTTGACAGTTTGAAACTCTTCCAGCCTCGGGCCCAGTATCGTCGGTGCTTCAGTACCGCGGTGTGGTCACGTGCAGAACATGTAGCTATCTGTTGAATACAGCGCTGTTTAATGTTTTCTCTTCGTGTCTGTTCTTGTGCTGAGAGGTTTCCACATCGGAGAATTAGTATGATCTTAACTTAATTTGTGAATTTAAAACTTGAATTTTTGGCATTTACCGTGCATTCCAGAGAGAGACATCTGAAGCCGAACGGCCTGGCCGTTTAGGTTGCGTGCTTTCTCCTCCGAACTTTTTTCAGTTTCAAAAGTTCTGTGTATCAACATCAAGACTGATAGGTAGGGTCTGCCAGGAGCAGTATTAGAACATGTTCTGTGATCTCCAGTCGACAACAAGCCCAACGATACCACAACAGTACCACAACCGGCTGTTGTCCCGTCACTTGCTTGTCAGATCAGTTGCTAAGAAGAGCCACTTTGTCTGTTGTTGCATTTTGTGTGTTTCCATTGTGTCCCCAAGCCAGAGAACCCCCCGTCATTCTGTCTGAACACCTTAAAGTCTTGTTAAGCAGCAGCAGCAGGTCTCCTCATCCACTCTCGCCTATCTGTTTTTAAAGGGAAGAAAGCTTGAAGCACTGGGAAGTCAACTGGTTGTCATCTCGGTGAGAAGAACATAACGAAGCAACAAAAACCCAAACAGATAAAAGCACTGACTCTGTCCCCTGAAGCCCTCTGCTGCCTTCCCTCTAGATGGCTTCATGGTCATCCCCACCTCTTTCCTGACCAACATGACTAAATATCCTCACCTGTGACCCTGTTAGCCTCCCTCAGACACCCAGTTCTGTTTTTTGTTTTTGCATGTGCCTCTTAAGCAGAGAGACAACCAAGTATAACAACACGCTGTGTCTTTTTATTTGAGTATTGACCGGTTCATGCCGTATCACCCACCCTTCCACCTCCCCCAGTCTGTTTCCTCACCAGCCTGAGTGCATGTTGTTTTGTTTCTTGGAAGATGACCGAGGATATCTGACCAGTACATGATAGATGACTGTGTCGTCTGCCTGCACAGACAACCTTGTTTCTTTGAGTAATACCTGAGACTAAGGTGCAGTTTAATATCCATTCATTAGCTTAACAAAGCTGCGTAGGCTTTTTATTTAACACTGATTTTGAGTTATTTAAATAAAGGCACTTATAGATTGGTCCTCCTGTCTTCAGTTTGTTCCTGTTTTTCATACTTTCTCCTCTTGTGTGTCCTTTCTGGATTGCAGACATACAGAAGACATGATAGTCACACCATTTGCACAGGTGAGTCCTATGAAACCTTTCCAGACACTGTTGGGAAGTGATTTTACGTCTTTTGTGCTGGCAGATGGTCAAATGAAAAACAAAAAGACGTAATAGATAAAGTCCAGATGGTATGAGCCTGGGCCTGACTGCTCCACCGGAACAGCCCCTCAGCATTATGCTGGCCCGGCAACAGGATCAGGCGTCCCGCTGGTGCTGCCTGACTCTTGCGTGGGATGTGCGTCACGCTTGTGCTCACTTTACACGGCGAAAGAAGCGGCGAATCCAATACTGCTGGATCATGCTGTTTGAAATTTGCATGCTGGCTAATAAAGCTTCTGCATGGGTCGGGTCTGGACATCTGATACTCTGTGGGCTTCCTCTACGTGCTCAGTCAGTGTTTGGCTGCAGATGGAGTGACAGACATGACATAGGGGAGTGTCGGTGATGCTGTCACAACATGAGAGAGGGAGAGGGGATGCCTCAGCATGGTGCGTCAGCCAGGAGCATGAAAGAAGCACTTGATCCAGTTAAAGATAAACTAAAGTATTTGCAGCTCTGACTGAGGTGACATCTGTGCTTTTATTAGGTCACAAATGTTGTGTTTATCACATTTAATAAACCTACATTTAGGCTGTTGTTCCTGTGTCGTAGGTCCTCGCCAGCCTGAGGACCGTCCGGAGTAACTTTGCCGTCATCACCGGCCAACAAGATCGCCCAGCCAGCAAGTAGGCTTGTAGAAGATGTCTTCTTTGATGAATTTTCTAGTGCTCTCACCACATCACACCTGACTATACATATGTATATATATATATATATATATACATTTACTGTGCTGACTGTTGATGGTCTCTGTCTACAGGACACGGTCCTCAGGCAGCAACCCACCGTCCATGTGCAAGACCAGCCTGGCAGGTTGGTGCTAGGACAGAAACACAGAGACTACATCTCATATGATAACATCTGTGAAGTGTGAAACATCAGTACAGCAGTGGTAGAAATTAATTTCTAAAGAACAGTCTGTGCAAAATGCTGTCCCCTCTTAGTGTTCACCGTTAATCTATTCTATTATCACTTATTCTTCTATTGGTGAGTCGAAATTAAACAGCTCATCAAACATTTTAGGAGTTTTTTAGACAGCATCAAACAAAAACAGCAGCAGATTATTTTTTAAACCAGTTTATTAACTCCAGTTTCATTTCATTCAAGCGGAACAGACGTTTTTGTTGAAATAGTTAGAAATAACAGGAAAATGTGTAGATAATGCTTACTGGTATATGTGGTTATCCCTCAAAAGGTGCCAGCAGGAACACTGACAGCTTTACAGTGCTTTGTCCTTTAAAGGTGTATCACGTGTAACATGTGTAATAGGACTTCTATTATACTCATGTAAGTACTGGAGATGTCCAAAAATGTAATGGAGTAAAAAGTACCATGCTTCTTTAAGTGGCAGTATAAAGTGGGATTAATTGGACATATTCAAGTAAAGTACCTCAGATTTGCTGAGGTTTCATAGTTGATGACATCCAACATTTATGTGTAATCACATTCTGCCAGTCTGCCCCGACAGAAGGCTTTCAGCCTGTTACAGGTCGCAGTTTAACAATCTGACGGTATGTGAACACTCTCTAAATGCTGAATCCGTCCCACGATGCCTTGCTGCTGTCTTCATTTGGTACAGAGGAGCCTCATCAGCAGCTGGCCATCGAGACTCTAGACGAGCTGGATTGGTGTCTGGAGCAACTGGAGACGCTGAAAACCCGACACTCTGTCAGCGAGATGGCCTCCAACAAGGTACTGAGACGGTACTGTAGAGGCAGGCCGGTGAGCTGCAGAGGTAGATCTGACACAGCCGGGTTCAGGGGAAGGCTGCAGCGCCGTCCACTCATTCTAATCTGAGCTGTGATTCACCACCCTGAAGGATTTTATTAGTCATGTGTGTCTTGGTTTAAACTCGGTGAAGGTAGTCCAGTAGGTGACCTTCAGCTCAGTCACGTCAGACCCAGACCCAGACTGGAACAGGTTTAAATAATATAAGCAGAGTTTGATCTTCTTTACACTGAAATGCACAAATTAAACTGGATTCCAGGAGATAAAATATTTCATTTCTCCCTTGTTTGTAAAAAATAAAATAAAATCGCCCCCGTTGTTCTTTCATGTGGCCGTAACCGCTGCCTCAGATCAGACTTTAGCGCCAAAATTCAACAATCAAATTAGTTTCATTCAAGGATTCAAGGAACTTTATTTGTCACGTCAGCTCACATTCACGTGTCTGTGGTACGAAATTAGTAGTCAGGTCCCGTTTTTTTTTTTTTTTTTAAAGCCTCATAAATAATAAGTACAATAAAACAAGAGCAAAATTTAAGTACGAATACAGCAACACAGCTGTAGTGAGAAACATCAACATGAGAGCAGAAAGCCAGAGCTGGTCGTGTTTAGCAGCAGCGAGGTGGACTGTGATGCTGCACTGGGTGGTTAAAATACTGCACATATGGACTCAGTGCTTCCCTTCTGAGAGGAAACACGTCAGCGAGTTTCGTTAGAGCGTTAGATAATAAAAGCAATAGATGAGACATGTTAATGATTTTCATCAGTTTTTCCTGAACGTCGGTAATCTGTGCACAGCCCTCCCAGTACAACCCTGAACCGGGGACTGTGTGTGATGCCCTGTTAGTGCAGTTATCCTTCACTGATCCCTAAACAAAGCCCAAAGCTCAAAAATACACAGAATCCATCATGAAAATATTAATAGCCTCTCCGTCCGTCGGCGGGTAGAAGAGCTTATTCCATGAATGAGCAGGAGGGCTTCATGCATGTAGCAGAGCCCAGACACACAGACACACCCTTCCCCCCACTCGTGTGCAGAGAAATGTGAATGAGTAGTGGGAGCTGTGGATGAAACGGCATCCCCCCGGTTCATCCTTCCTCCACGCATCCCTCCTCCTCCTCCTCCTCCTCCTCCTTAGACTGAGCCCAGCTCTCGTGTGATTCCACCATCAGTCGCCCACACAACACACACGTGCTGCTCATACACACTCTTCCTCCCATCGCATGCATGCACATTTCCCGCCTTTCCTCTCATCGCATACATCGCATATACTACTGAACATGTCACATACTCACGTGGCGTTGGCCAGAGTTTGGTGGGAGGTAACCCCCCCCACCACCACTTCCTATTGCTGCAGATCAGTCAATGAGCAGCTTCAGAGGGGGGAGAGTTATCCACGCTGGGAACAAAGGCCTGGACGCTGTTCATGCATCGCTGGCAACCTCATCGAACGGTTCGATTGAATACGTCTTAAATGAGCCCTGAAAGTGTGTTTAAGAGAGACTGAGACCTCCTGATCTGTGTCTGAATAGTCTGACTGATGCTCATCACACAGCAGACGGCCGGCAGCACCATGAGAACAAACAAAGGAGGCTTCATGTGCTTCAGTTTTGCCACCATTGGACAATCGTGTTTTTTAAAAAATAAATGGTTAAACTTTAATGTTCCAGATATAAAGTCTGACTACTAAACTTCAGAGTGTTTTCTGTGCCTCCATCCAAGCATCCAGTTTTTACACAGCAGCATATTGTCCTCATCCTGAGCACATTTCTGTCCCACATTATGCTGATATCTGTCTGATCAGCCTGATGGTCGATGTACTCACATCCTGCTGGTTCAGGGTGTACTGGTTTTATTTTTGGCTCCATGAATGAACCCCCTCCCCACCGCTCCAGCGCTTTTCTCTCATATCTTCTTCAAACTTGGTGCACATGGTGCATCTCACAACCTCCGCCTCTGACTCCTGCTCTGCCTACTGTGTGCACCAGCCGGCCAATGAGGGCCCTCGGTGTCCCCAACCTCTGCTGCACCAGGCGCCCGATTGGCTGCTATTCTTAGGCATTTTTGGAAGGAGGCGGAGCCTGGAGTACCTCGTTCTCTCTGTGTTTACACACATAGTGAGCAGCCAGTAACTGAGTGAATGAGGGAGAGTCGGGGGGAGCGAGGGAGTGTGGCTGGTCTGCCTTGCATCCTCGCATCCCGCAGCATTCCCACAGCTGTGCTTCCATTCTTTCCTTCTTCCACGGACCTCTGAGCAGCTGTATTTTTTGCCCATCTGCTCAGCACGTACTGATCAAAGCTTGCACAGATCTATCCAGTGGACTGTCTGCTTGCAGTGGATTTTGCTCAGGCAAGCAGTAAAGGAGCACAAAGTGTCCCTGCCGTCTGTTGCTCCGTGGAACGGGCAGCGTTAAAGGACAGCCAGGAAGCCCAGCTCTCGCACTCCCTTTTACTTCTGCTCCCATGCTTGACTTTGCGCTGAAATGCCAGAAGTGACTTATTCCATCTCGGTGTCGTGGATGTTCATTCAGGTAAGGAGCGGGGCAAGCCAGGTGGGAGGGGACGGGGCTGCTCAGGGCACACATGTTGCTCGTTTAGTGGGTGTGGAGACGTGAGCAGCTGATGGTCGAGATGTGACAGTGGACTTTCGCTGGGACATCTTGTGTCGGCACATTCAGGCACATCTGCTGCCTTTCATGTCAGAGCAATCTGGAGTGGGTTCTGGTTTGTGCCACTATGGATCCACACAGTACACCGTTAACTGGACCTAAAGACAGCAGTCATTCCAGCTACACTTTACATCGTGAAACCATAATACAAGCCACACAATGAAACGGAAATAGCAGGAATATAAAAGCAAACGTCCCATCATCCAACATGTTTGCATTCCTTAGCAGAGAGTGGTCTACCTGCTACGTCTTTGTTCTGGCATGTTGCTGTGGAGAGATACCATCAGCATGTCCCAGTGTCTCCACAGCGTAGTAAACAGTGTGTTCATCAAACTCATAGATGCTCCTGTGTGTGTGTTTGTCACCAGTTCAAGAGGATGCTGAACCGAGAGCTCAGCCAGCTGTCAGAAACCAGCCGTTCAGGGAACCAGGTGTCTGAGTTCATCTCCAGCACCTTCCTCGGTAAATATCTGTTCTTTGTTTACTGCTGTGCATAGAGATAGTGAGCTGTGATGCTGTAGCATGAGGAATAGGATGGTCAGGTGGTTTTACAGGAGTCACTGGACAGTTACTGTCAAAATGCTGCGTTTCTAATGTGATCCCTCGTTTGTCATCTGACAGAGAAGCAACATGACATGGACATCATGTCTCCCCCCGCCAAGGAGAAGGACAAGAAGAAGCGGCCCATGTCCCAGATCAGCGGTGTGAAGAAGGCCACCCACAGCCCCAGCCTCGCTCCCTCCTCCATCCCTCGCTTCGGGGTCAGCGCTAGTCAGGAGGGTCTCCTAGCCAAGGCATGAGGACGAGGTCGACACGTATTCATCTGTCGCTTTCATGCAGCTGAGTCTGTGTCTGATATATTGATTTGTTCACTGACAGGAGCTCGAGGACACCAACAGATGGGGTATCGACATCTTTAAAGTCTCGGAGTATTCTGGGAGTCGCCCGCTGACGGTCACCATGTACACCATCTTCCAGGTAACAGCAGAGTTCTGTACCACCTCCAACGGTCGGCCCAGTGAATCAGTGCACAGAGAGTAAATGAACGCCTGAAACAATGAGTTAACAAAGTGTGTTGAATGATTGATGCTGCCTCGACTGACCCAGACCCGCTGTGTTCTGTCTGTGCTGCTGCTGCAGGAGCGAGAGCTGCTCAAGTCCTTTAAGATCCCGGTGGACACTTTCATTACCTTCATGATGACTTTGGAGGATCACTACCATTCTGACGTGGCCTATCACAACAACATCCACGCTGCAGATGTGGTCCAGTCCACACATGTGCTGCTGTCCACGCCAGCACTGGAGGTAGCAGCTCCAACTCACCGTAGACACATTTCTGCTTCATTAAGGGGATCCCTGCATGTCCCGTCATGTTTACCACCACACACACTGACTGTCTGCTTTCTCATCTGTCCAAGGCTGTGTTTACTGATCTGGAGATTCTCGCCGCTCTCTTCGCCAGCGCCATCCACGACGTAGATCACCCTGGAGTTTCCAATCAGTTCCTCATCAACACCAGTGAGTGTGCATTGCTCCAGGGGGATCCTGAGCGTATTTAGCGATGTGGAGGAATCACCTGTAGACACGTCATTTGTTTCACGTCCAGGTGCTTCGCAGTGCTCTGTCTAAACTTGTTTTCCTGCCTGCAGACTCGGAGCTGGCCCTGATGTACAACGACTCGTCGGTGCTGGAGAATCACCACCTGGCCGTCGGCTTCAAGCTCCTGCAGGAAGACAACTGTGACATCTTTAAGAACCTCAGCAAAAAGCAGAGACAGTCGCTGCGCAAAATGGTCATCGACATGGTGAGATAGCATCGGGAGAACTCTCCAGTGTAGTTTTTCTGCCTTCAGACTGTCAGCTGATGTTCTGTTGTTGCTGCAGGTGCTGGCCACAGATATGTCCAAACACATGAACCTGCTAGCAGACCTGAAAACCATGGTGGAGACCAAGAAAGTCACCAGTCTAGGAGTCCTGCTGCTAGACAACTATTCAGATCGTATCCAGGTAAGTTGTCTTTAACCCCTGCGACCCTGTGCTGCAGCAGGTCTCAGACTTTTAGAGCCACAACCTCTAGATAGCATCAGTTTGTGTTCATGACCCCCCAGTTTGAATTCCTAATATCTCACAAGTAATAACTCTGTTGTTCATCACTGATGTGTTAATTCCACAGATTCATCTCTTTACATTAACACGTTCATTTTCTTTTCAGTGACCAATTGAATTGAATTTATTTTGAACAAATGAAATAAAAAAATCTAAAAACAACAGGAAATTAAAGCCGCAAGCGGCGATGGACGGGTCCTCGCACCTACGCTTGGCGGCCTTCGCGCACGTCGGGTTGTGGCGCAAACGTGTTGAGCCATGTTGCATTTTACAAGTTGGCCCAGCCTGACTTTTTTATTCATCCTGACCTGCTCTATATGCCTACAAAATTGTGTAGCTCTAGGCTAAATGTGCTTTTGACAATTTAGAAGGTGGCGCTGTGGAGCAATTTTTCTATTGAGGTGTGTATTGTTCTTCCAAATTCAAAAATTTTTCACCGGGTCTGATGTGCATGGCAATTTTGGTGGGTTTTCGAGTATGTTTAGGGCCTCAAAAACGCGTGTCTTTGTCGGGAATAATAATAATAATCCGAGCAGTTCCAATAGGGTCTTTGCACCCTTTTGGGTGCTCGGACCCTAATAATTTAAAAAAGAGAAAAAAAGAACAATAGTATCACATAATCAAATCATAATATTAACAAGTTCAAAAAGGAGTGGATAGAAGTATACTCTTTAATTTTGACAGCCCTGATACACATTCATTTGATGAATGTGGGCTTTATATTTATTTTTTAGTTTTTACAATGATCAGGTGACGCCCTGAAATGATCTTGGGTCCCCCGTGGGGGTCCCGACCCCCGGTTTGAGAACCACTGCTGTACAGGATAAATATGAAGAAATAGACAACGAGGATCTGCTTTAACTGCGTTTGTTGATTAGACGTTCACCCTCTGTGTGTTTGTCTCTGCAGGTTCTTCAGAACATGGTTCACTGTGCAGATCTGAGCAACCCAACCAAACCTCTGGAGCTGTACCGGCAGTGGACCGACCGCATCATGGTGGAGTTCTTCACTCAGGGCGACAGAGAGAGAGACAAAGGCATGGAGATCAGCCCCATGTGTGACAAGCACAACGCCTCCATAGAGAAGAACCAGGTACGGGGTACATCTACAGGAGTTGTTCTGTCAAATACACTCAGATCACACAGATCAGCACCACTCCATGCTTCTGTCTCTCAGGTGGGCTTCATTGACTACATCGTCCATCCTCTGTGGGAGACGTGGGCCGACCTGGTTCACCCCGATGCTCAGGAGATCCTGGACACGCTGGAGGACAACAGAGAGTGGTACCAGAGCATGATCCCCCACAGCCCCTCGCCCAACCCGGAGGGCCCGGAGGAGGGAGCCCACGCAGGAGAGGCTTCGGCTCTGAGCGCCGTCTCCTCTGCAGCCGACAAGTTTCAGTTCGAGCTGACCTTGGAGGAAGAAGGAGAGTCTGACACGGAGAGTCCGCCTGAGGAGGAGGAGGGCTACAGCAGCAGCAGCAGGGCGCCTGAAGCTGGCAGGACTGACCCGACACGACGGCTTCCCAAAATGCTCATTAGTGACTCAGGCAGGACGTTTTCTTTAGACTCGGAGAAAGACATGGCGGAAGACAGGGAGACAGACGAGGAGGGCGTCTCTGCGGTGGCACGCTTCAGACTCGGCACATAGCACCAGTCAAAAGGTTTCCTTCTTTTGGCCTTTTTCTGTTTCGTTTTTTCTTGGTTTCGGTGCCTCGTCCTCTGCCACTCCCCTCCTCCCATGCCAAGCTAACACCGCCACCTCTGACAGGGTGACAGCCAGACTCGGGGTGGGGTGTACGGGAGTGATTGTGGGGGTGTTGAGAGGGTCTGCAGTTTTTCACAGCAGTCACTTGCACTGGAGAGAGACAGACAGACTGAGTCCCTGCACCAGGAGGACAGGAAACCAGGTTTCTGACCAGTCCTTCGTGTTCTGTGTCTTTCATTCAGACAAACTGTGGCTCAAGTTCTACAGAGACAATGAGAAGTTAGATGCAGCTTCCCTTCCTTGCAGCCAGCCTGAGGTCTAGCACAGCTCCAGACAGAACCGTCTTCCTCTGTTTGTGAAGAAAGTGAGGAAGTGGTGAATGAAAACACAACCACGTCTTTTAAGACATCTGCCAAACTTGCGACTCACTGGGACGATGCTGTTTGCCTGCCTTTTAGTTTTCCTTTGTTTGTTCTGTTGTTTTGATGCACACACACTAATGAAGGTGCAGCCAGCAGTGGAAGCGAAGAGAGGAACTATGCATGGCTTTATGCAGGAAATGTTCAATGTAGCAGAAATTCTGAGTAACTCTTGGCTGTGACTGTCCAGCAGCTTCCTCTGAGCTCAGCAGCGTGTTGTGTTCAGCAGGCAGCTGTCTGGATCAGAACCACTGAGCTGCCACTACACATTGTTTTAATGTCTTCAGATGTATTATTTCCAGTTTTATAATCCTACACTGAGATGTTGTCAGCGACAAACCTGAGCCAGGGTCAGTATGGTGTTGGGCAGTCATGGAATCACATCCAGAGCAGTTGGACTGTGCACATGGCGCCTCCCAGTGTCCACGAGTGGAACTGAAGTTCTGGTACAGAGGCAAATGATATGCAAGGGTTTGGCTTCTATGGAAAGTACATTCAAAGGTATTTAATGGTAGGACTACCCCAGATGTCAGCTATATTTTACCTTTGTTGCTCATTTTTGATTATTTGTTGCTTTATTTTTTATTTTTATCTGAAGTCACATTTTTTCTCATTCTTGATGTTTGGCACCTATTTTATCAGTTTGCCTTTACGTTTGCCACGTTTTCTTTTTGCTCACAGCTAGCCCTCGTTGTGGATTTAAAGGGCTCGAGCCAACACATGAACACACTGGAGGCTGTGCAGCGAGTAGCAGCAACCAGCACAGACTAAACGCTGCAGCACAGCTACTCGTACATCCATCTGTCCATCATGGTTATTGCACGCTGCGGTAAACACTGAACTATGGTTTTTGGTAACATCCGCTTGCATAAAGACTAACAGGAGTGTTATATTAGAAGCATGAGGGTTGCAAAGACAGACTTTAGCATCATTATAACTGTAAAACAAACCAGGAAGCTACCGAGTTTCCTGTGCCAGAATTTTTCCACTTTTTCCTCTCATTGATCAATATTTCGCTCTTCACAGGGACATAGTCAATGACAAAACAAGTGCCAAGCAAGCATGACACAACCCGTACTGTAATTTCCATTTTGCCACTGGCTACTTTCCATCAGTGACTGATAAAGTTGGTTGATTGTAGCGCCCCGTGTGCCAATCTGACCTCAGTGTCTCTGCTCCTTTTTTCTAACTCCTGCTCAACCAGTAACTGAAACTGACATTGTCTTAAAACAGTGATGTGTTTTTTGTGTGTGAGCGGGTGACTGGGTCGACTTTTTAGAAGTATTTGCTAAGAAAAAACCAAAGCACTTTGTATGGTACTTTTACAGTTCTGCACTTCCAGTTCAGTTGAAGATGTGTAACATGACTGTTTCATTGTTTTTCTGTTGACAAGCGGCCGGTGGTTGGATTGAATTGCACGGGCTGGACCACGACAGCTCTTAAAGGTTGGATGTTGGAGGGACTGAAGTTGTTTTTGTTGTTGTTGTTGATGATGTTCTTTTTATAATTGACTGTACAAAAAAAAATGTGTTTTGTTGAAATGCATGAGATCAGCTGCAGGATTCAAACAATATGAAGAGTATGTGGAGTACTTGCCTCCAAACATAGCCTGTGGAGAATCCTGTTTAACTTTATTAACGTACAACAGTCGTGTTTTAATGTGTGAATGAGCTGAACGTTTTTCTCTTCTTCTTTTTTTTCGAAGCCTTTTTTCAGACTTGGGATTTTGTTTTTTTCTGGTCACAGATGTGTTCACTGACATGCTGGAGTCAAACATGTGCAATCCTCTCTGTAGCCATAAACAGCACCAAACAGACCAACACTCAAGGATGCCTTCAACACTAAGGACTATTTAACAGCATCTTAACCAGCACAACATGCAGAGATTCAGCCTGTGTCTCTGCGTGTCACTAGTTGTTTGATTTTGTACATTTTCCTCACAGTACTTTACGTACAACTTATTTATTATTTCTATATTATCTTCGCAGAAACGATGACAAACAAGTAGACTTTTCCTCTGAGGTTTAGTACTTTTGTGTAGGCTGATGTGTGAGAAAGTCAAACGGGACAGATTTCAACTATTACTCAGCTTTTTCCTTCTCATTTCGTTATGTCTGCAGATAACATTATACATAAGCAAAAAAAAATACTCACGTTCATGTTTTTCTTGGTGTAAAAATAGTCGAGTGACAGATTTCCGTCTTGGTTTTCTGAAGCATCTCCTCGTTCCTGTCTTCCTGTGTTTCCACCGATGCGGTCAGATCACATGTTCATAGAGGAGCTCGCTGATCTGAGACGTCTTTTATCCACGGTGAACATCATGCAGTCATACGGCCTCAACAGTCTTTGTAGACCAGTGTTTCTGTTCTTGAAGATTTTATGAATATGGGTCATGAACTGAGACGCTGCAGCTTTGACAATCCAAACTCTGCTGGGTGTGTTTGCCCTCTCTCCAACTACAACTGTATGCCTTGCCAATAAAGGAAAAACTCCTCACTCTGTCACGCCTTGTTCTCTGCTTTTATGAAGAGACTACCTGATAAAATCTAAGCATACACGCTTTCCAGGATAAAAAGCAACATAATCCTTTTTCATGATTAATAAACATCATCACTCAAATCCACTCGATGATAATTGATCGTCATATCGTTATTTTCTTGTACTTTCTTTCAATATTTTTGGATGCAGCTGCATCGTGTAAATTTCCCCCAATGGGGATCAATAAAAATTATTCTATTCTGTTCTATCACTATTATGATACAGAATGGTGATGTGTCAAAGAAATGTCAGAAGTGCAGCATTAAAAATATAGAAATACCAAATGTCAGGGAGGAGTCTAATTTTATTAATATATTTACAGTATAACACGTAAACACAGCTGTTTAATCTATCATATAAAACTAAATACAGCATTTATGACACGACAGTAAACTTTCATGAAGTCTATTTATGTGAAAAAATCAGTTTTCTTTTTAAAAAAAAGTTTAATTTTATTATTTTTCACTGTTATAGATTTTTAATGTTACATTAGACATGTACGTTTTCAGTTTATTTTTCTAACTTTATTTATACTTGCATGTTTAAAACAAATGTAAATCCCAAAGACATCTGTCAAATATGAGAAACATTCTGTAAAACTACAGATTTTATGTAAGGTAACATAACTATGCACTGAACCGTCAACAGTTTTACAATATCACCACCAAATAGAACCCAACACTAATTAGAGTTATGACAAATCTGATTTTTGAGCTATAAAGTCTGCAAATGTAATAATGCATCTGTTCTTATAGTAATCAAGTTTAATCTGTATAAAAGCATCAGAGCATCCTCACATGTATAAAATATTATTTATTTGCTATTATGACTAAGTAATATCTGTGTAGCTTTTTCCATTGCTGATGTTCATTCTTAAGTCCTGAAAACCCCAGGCCGTCTTTAAATATCACTAAAAACACAGTTCACTTTGTTTTATCACATGTATGCTAAATAAATATTCCTAGTTTTGTAAGAGTTGCTTATTTACAACAGCTAGACCTCCTGCTGGTACATATAAAACATAATTGTATATGGTCATAAACACACACACATTAGATCAGTGGAAGGAACTCAGGCAATGATTAAGTGAAGCCAAAGGAAACAAAACACAAGAGCGTCAATTCAATGTATTTATTGACTTTAATTCAGTTTTATTTATACAGCATTGAGTTACAGTATAATAACCTCAGGACACTTCTCATAGCCGTGTCAGGACCTCACAACAATATATTCTAGAGAGAAACCCATAGGTCCAAAGGTTCCGAAATTCTGAATTGAAATCTCTCATCGTTCACAGAACGGGAGGCGGGGCTTGTGGAGTAACGCGTTTCGGATCTGCGCTGTGATCGGCCGGCCGACCTGTCAATCATCCTTACGCTCTGTCTATGGTAACCGCTTATGCCGGAGTTGCCAATCAAGACGCGCACGAGCTACTGCAGGTGCAAAGCTGGGCGCCGTGTTAGTCGCTGCGGTGAAGCCGAGGAAAAAACGCACATTTCACGGTAAACCCTGCGCTTGTTTGTCGCTGCTGGGCCGTGTGAGGGTAACGGTGGCAACACATAGCATGTGGGTCATCTGTCGGTACCGGGGCGTCTGATTTAGATCGAAAATGTAGCCGTAAATAAGCAAGAGTAACCTTCATTTGACATAGCTGGGATGCTTAGCTAGCTGCACATTTAAATGCTGGTAACGGTAACGGTGCTGCGCTAGCATCAAAGGCAGGGGAGCCAGCCAGCGCCGGGTTCACCTCATGGGCTGTCGGTTTATCTACGTTTGTTTCTGTAGCAGTCGTTTGTCTGAGGCGGTAGGTACCGTGTGACAAAGCGGCTTGTGTTGTTTTTCTGCAGCTAGCGTGAAGCAGACGGTCGGTTTCAGGGAGCTACATGGAGCTAAGCTGTGTGATGGGCTTCAGGCCGTTTACAGTCACAGAGCACCGCGTATTGCCGCTAATGTCCAGGCGCCTACGAGGCAGATTCTGGCCGGCCATATGGTCATTCATAATTGGCTGGCCGGCCCAGCTCTCCGCGGAGGTTCCAGCCCTCCCTGGACGGGAACGGATAGGCAGTTTAGCTGATGCTTAGCCCGCTAAGCTCCGGTACTTCCGCCCTCTTATCTTGTGTGAGGTGGAGGTGTGCGCTCCTTACCTGACATGTGGGACTGTCATGAGATGAAAAGCTGGAGGTAGCTGGTTGTAGAGGAACAGGCTCCTGGTGACATCAGTTTGTAGTGAATGGAGTCAGTGAGGCTGTTTGGGACCCATGTGGACCTCAGACAGCAGTACCGGCGTTGTTCTGCCATGATGGGTGTGTTTCAGGTTGTTTTAACATTGACATGTATTCAGGTGTTTTACTTTGTTACTCTACATAATCATGATCTGTACTTGAGTTTTTGTGCCTAAGTCTCGTTGTATTCCCAACAGATATAAACCTGCCTGTCGGTCACGGTGCCACATGTGGATTCCAAAGAGAACAAACCGTTAGAGCTAATAAGATAACCAGTTATACTGGTCAGCTGTCAGGCCCGCTTGATGCACACATACTGTCAGTCATGACATCCATCCATCCATCATCTCTACACCTTAACCCTCACTCGGGGGCGGAGTCTATCCCAGCTGAGTCAGGGTGAAGGCAGGTTCACCTGGACAGGTAACCAGTCTATCACAGGGCTACACTTAGAGACAGACAACCAAGCACACTCACATTCACACCTACGGACAATTTACAATCACCAATTAACCTCAGCATGTTTCTGGACTGTGGGAGGAAGCCGGAGAACCCGGAGAGAACCCACGCTGCACGGGGAGAACATGGCGACTCCACGCAGAAAGATCCCGGGTGTCCTCACCGGGACGCCAACCGGCAGCCTTCTAGCTGTGAGGCCACGGTGCTAACCACCGAGACACCTGCAGCCCTCAGTCATGACAAAGATGTTGAAATGAAATCCATTTTCTTCAGTCCATCGCTAAAACTGCAGCCATTCTTTCCAGTGTCGACTGAAATAACAGATTAATTAGTTGTTTGGTCTAAAAAATGTCAGGAAATGGTTAATGATATTATCGAGTGTTTCCCAAAGGCCGAGACGACGTCCAGAGTTGTGCTGTCTGGTCCACAACCCAGATATCTTCAGCCTGCTGTCATAGTGAAGAACTATGAACGTCTTCAATTTTATAAAAGCTGGAATCAGAGAATTTAGACTTTTCCTGAGAGATGACCCAAATCATGTAATCCGTTATCAGAACAGCAGAAGACTTGTTCAGTCATAGACGGCTAACTCGTCCATCTTTGCTGTTTGACTCAGTTGTCTGAGGTTCTGTCCTCATTTGACGTCTTTCAAACATAGACGTGAAGCCACAGTTATTGCATGTGAAGCTCGAGCACTTTGTGTGTTGAAGTTCTGTGTGGTTCAGAGGTGTTGACTCACTTAAAGGATGAGTCAGGAGCTTCAGAGGATGTCTGTAGTGATACCACGGTTTGATTTGGCTTCCGTCCGTTTCCTTCTCTGAGGCTTCCCGTGTTTGTTCGTGTGGTTTGTAAAAGATCTTTGAAAGGTTTCACCATCGAGAGAATAAATGAAAATACCCGAATGCAATGGTGTAAAGTGCACGAGTAAATCTGTTATTAATTAATGTGCCGTGTATCCTAAACCAGGGTTTAAAGTCTTGAAGGAGTCTTAAAGCTGTACGTTTCCTTGTTCTTATTCACCATTTATCAAACGGTGCCAAAGGAAGTGTGTCTGATGCTATAAATACAGGCGGTGGACGCTTTATGTCTAATTGAATCCAATACTTTGAACTAAATGTTGTCTGTATGATGTCATGTTTAGTTTTTGCAGAGAAGCTGTGAAGCTCCACTGGTTTGTTGTGTTGTAGACTGGTTCCAGTGTTCGGCCCGTCCTGTGTTCATAACAGTGTGTTTATCTCAAACACCTTCATACTAACCGATAACTATGTGATCTCTGCTCCTACTTAGATGGCGTCTGCAAATGCCACGTACGGACAGAAGGAGTCCACGGACCAGAACTTTGACTACATGTTTAAGATCCTTATCATTGGCAACAGCAGCGTAGGAAAGACTTCCTTCCTTTTCCGCTACGCAGACGACTCGTTCACGCCGGCCTTTGTCAGCACAGTGGGCATCGACTTCAAGGTCAAGACCATCTACAGGAACGACAAGAGAATAAAGCTGCAAATCTGGGTGAGCACTTGTTCTGGAGTTTGTGGGTGCAGATTGTCTGCTGGTTTCTGGAGCAGGTCTCAGGGGAGGAAAGCAGAAACAGAGGAAACTATTTAGGAGAGAAAGTGAGCAACCTTCAGGGTTGCTGTTGTTCTGCTGCTGACACTTGTGCAGAGTTGACAAATGGAAATGAGACTTTGCTTTGCTTGTTGCATTCAGCAGTGCTCCAGGTCCCAGTGGAGAGGAAAGGCTGTACCAGGCACAGGAGGCTGCTGTTATCTACACTACCATCCATTACATAATTACTAGTCAGTGTTTACAGTCTGATGTTCATGTTTTCTCCCATCACACGGTCATGCAGTGCACACACAACCTAAACAGGAGAGTCATATTGGAGCAGTGTGACAGGAGACGAGCTCGGGCTTCAGACTGATTAACATCCAGCCTGCAGCGCTTCTGTTTGTTCACAGTGTTTAATATGTGCACAGGATTCAGTCTCCGCTCATCTCCATGAACAGAATACTGACATTACAGTGCAGCAGCTGTTCCGTGTGTGATGGCTTCAGCTGGCTATGGTTTTTATTATTATTATTCTGCTCACTGGTTTTTTACCAGAGAATGTCCGTTCCAGTTTCCTAACCATGAACGTGACATCTTCACGTCTTGTTTTGTCTCAGTAAATAAAACCTGAAGGCATTCAGTTGACAGAGGTGCAAAACGGTGGAAAGTCCAAACAACAAGAAGTCCGTTATCAGAAAACTCTGCAGTTGACCTGTCATCGGTTAATCAGCTGGTTCGGGTCTACATCTCAACAAGGTTGCACACAACAAGATCGGATTGTTCAAAACTGTCCTTCCTACCTGCTGACTGATTTCTTTTTTAACATGCGTGTTTTCCATGCCCGTCACATGTGTGACTAATGCGGGCCGTCTCATGGCGTATCTCTAATGATTACCAGCTGCTAAACGGGCCTCCTCAGGCCCACAATCATTCCATTTGCTGGGTAATGGCAATACCCTTGAAGCACACTTAACATGCGCCATAAAGCCCGACCCTGGGACCAGCTGCTTATTATGTGCGACACCAGAAGACTACGTAATGCTCCTGAGAGTTTAGCTGAATGCTAGCGCTCGGCATTCATCAGGAGGTGAATCCACAGCAATGTACGTCTGGCTCTGTTTTCCTTGTAATGCCCAACTCGCCTTCTTCTGACAATATTACACTCTACACTCACACGTATCTCTCGTTTCTTCTGTGTTTAGGACACAGCAGGGCAGGAGCGCTACAGGACCATCACCACGGCCTACTACCGGGGCGCCATGGGCTTCATCCTCATGTATGACATCACCAATGAGGAGTCCTTCAACGCTGTGCAGGACTGGTGAGGAGCAGCCCAGCGTGTCTGTGTGCATGAAAATGGCGACTTAACAAGCTGCAACCTTATTTCCTCTGAATTTCCTGCAGCTCTCCTGCTGTTTATGAGCACAGTTTATCCACCATGTGAAGGTTGGAGATGTGGGACTCCACATACAGTGAAACCACAGGAGTAGTCAGCAGCCCCATTGTCTACAGAACCTGTTTACATGTGGAGACAACTGCTAAAAACATCTGCTGCTTTGTCCCACTGCACGTCTGCACGACATATAGGTAGCGTAGGTCGACGCTGAACCAGAATGAAGCAGAACCAGTGTTAACAGCAGTACAGTCATGACAGGTGCAGGTCACCGCAGACTTGACTTGTTTGAAATCGATTTAGCTGCTTGTGTTGTGTGATGTGATCAAATAGTTCCAAGACTGCTGGTATAATGCAGCCTGAGTGTGTTTCAGCGACGCACGTGAACATGTGTGAGCAGTAGGACCACTAGTAGGTAGTAATGTGGACCTCAAACTGGAGCAGAGAGCCAGCACCACGTTCTGAGTTAGTCAGCAGCAGGATGATCCAGCAGTCATGTAGAACAGAGGCCTGAAACTCACCTTACCTGGAGGCCGCTGGAGGTGGAGTCTGGGTGAGGCTGAGCCGCATCACGGATTCAAAAAAAGCACAATGGAGACAGTCTTCTCAGTCTTTATTAATAACCATTCAGAACATGAACATTCTCCAGAACATAGGCTCCTCCTACCTGTTCCTTGCTACCAGAGACCTGCAGCACTTCCTCCTACAGCTGAGCCACATTTGGCTGGAGGGAGGAAGCAACTGAGACCCTCAGTGTGGCTTGAAGATGCTCATCAGTAAGTCTGGACCTGCACTGTTGCTGATTAAAGCTCATGGTGGAGAAGAGCTTCTCACACGGATAGAAAAAAGAAAAACAGAATAACAAGAACGTATTTGCACTGGGTGACAGGATGTATGTTCCCTCCACTCAGTGATACTCCTGCATCATGTTTCAAGTGACCAACGTTGCTAATTCATGTTGCTGTCACGAGCCTCGCTACGGGAGCCCACAGGTGATAAACAATAGAAAACGGCCAGTGCAACGACTCGCGCAGGTACGTGTGAGAAAAACACGCAGACCGCACTAACGTTAAACTCTGATGTCAAGTAGAGGGCCACAAGTTTGAGACCCCTGATGTAGAGGATCATCAGACAGGTGAGGACAGGTGAGCTTGTGTCTACCACCGAAAGTAGCAGCAGCTTTCACCCAGTATGAGCCCACAGCTTCCCAGACTGGACAGGTGCGTCAGCCAGCAGCGTGTTGGGATGGAGCAGTACGAGTTCATCCTCCAGGGCTGGCCTGCAAGGCGGAGCTCTGCTGTGGCGTCCTGAGCTGCCTGAGGGGGGAATTTGATGCAAACAACCTGAAACTGTGGCGCGACGGCATGTAAGCGCTCCACCTGTGCGCCTGGTCACAGCGTGGTGAAAACCCACCGGGTTTCTGGCCGCAGCAGCAGAATCGTCGCTCCCCACCTGTTCTGCTCACCAGATTTGGCTCCCTGCAACTTTTTCCTCGTCCCCAACATAAAACTCAGGTCGACGGAGCTCTGTTTGACACGTTAGTGTAGGCAGATGGCGCTTCATGTGCTTACATAACGGGGCCTCCAGGGGGCGCTGCAAGCGTTCCAGGAGCACCAGGAGCAGACTGCTTTGACTAGGACGGCTGCAGAGTTTAAGTTGGGGATTGATGTTGATTTTTGTGTTGGAGCGAATCGATCAGCTCATATGAAGCCGGTATCGGTTCCTTGTTTACGTCATCATAACCCGTCCACAGGTCTTGCTTGTAAAGAGGGAAGAAGAAGACATGATTTTCTTCTTACGTTGGCAAAATGCTGAGGAAGCAGGTGTACCGGTTCTGTGGAGGTGTTGGACCACCTGGATCTGCTCTGAGCACAGAGCCGCCGCCATCTGGGACTAAAACAAATACATTTAATTTAGTTTCATCTTTTTATGTCGAGTTTTTCATATATATATTTCTATTATATGATGTTGTTTACGGTGTTTATATGTTTTGCTCTGAAAGGCAATAAAGAGAATCTGAATCTGAATTTTCTAAAAGAAACAACAACAAAACAACTTTATCATCTACAGAACAAAAGATGCTTGTGTGTGACCGTACTTGACCTCCACGTATCCTCCAACAGGTCGACCCAGATCAAGACGTACTCGTGGGACAACGCTCAGGTCCTCCTGGTGGGGAACAAGTGCGACATGGAGGATGAGCGGGTGGTGGCTACAGAGCGGGGCCGGCAGCTGTCGGAACAGCTGGGTGAGTCAGCTGGTCGGAGCTGGATGGCACGACTCGGCTGCTACCCTGTGTGTTTATCTCCTCCTCATTAGGACTGGATTACGTTCAGATGAATGATTTGATTCAACGCTGCTGCTTCTGAAGTTGTAGTTTTGTAAGCAAACACTGTTTATTGCATCCTCTTATGTCACCACCATGAGGCTACGTTACATAATCTGGTGTGTTTAAAGGTAGCGTTATGGAGCTGGAGTTGCTGTAAATCAGCCCACTGTGCCAAAGAGTGGCTCTGACATCAGTCCTAACGAACAGAGACGTGATCACCAGCGCCTCAGTCATTACACTGTGAAGAGGGACAAACAGACCTGGTAGATGCTGCTCAGGTGTTTGTCATGCTCCCCCTGTCAGTTCAATATGAAGAGATCATTTGGAGATAAAGAGCAGCAGCACGAGCATGCAAAGTAAAGACTGATGGGACTTAGCAGCAGATGAAGGGGAAGCGTGGAGGAGCAAAGGCAACACGACTGACAGCAGGGCTACGACAAGGTCTCAGAACCGTCTGTTAAATCAATCGCTGACTATTATGATCATCGATTAACCACTTAAGCTTAACTCTCTGAAGTCTGAGTAGTTTCTAATTTCTTTACTCCCTGAGGACAGTGAACTGAGACCTCTGTGTTGTGCATAAAGCAGACGCTTGACTTTGGAAACCACTGATGGATGTTTTTCACTGCTTTAGAGACCAAACAGCTGATCGAATAGTCAACAAAATAATCAACACATTCATCTTGAAGGGCTGCAGGTGTCTCGGTGGTTAGCACCGTGGCCTCACAGCTAGAAGTTCGCCGGGCGGCGTCCCGGTGAGGACACCTGGGATCTTTCTGCGTGGAGTCTCCATGTTCTCCCCGTGCAGCGTGGGTTCTCTCCGGGTTCTCCGGCTTCTTCCCACAGTCCAGAAACATGCTGAGGTTAATTGGTGATTGTAAATTGTCCATAGGTGTGAATGTGAGTGTGCTTGGTTGTCTGTCTCTAAGTGTAGCCCTGTGATAGACTGGTTACCTGTCCAGGTGAACCTGCCTTCACCCTGAGTCAGCTGGGATAGACTCCGCCCCCCATGACCCTAGTGAGGATTAAGGTGTAGAGATGATGGATGGATGGATTAATCAACAATGAAAATCACAGTAAGTTGTGCTGCTAGATGGTCTGAAAGGCAGAATTACAGTGAATCTAAAGAGCAGGGACGATGAGTGATTGGATCAGAGAACCCGGGCATGCAGACAGATCCCTGGACCAGAACACTGACGTTGACATGAAGTGGTTTTGACAGCATGACAAAGCGGAAGTGATGAAGAGAGCGGAGCAGCAGGACCAGCTCGTCTCCACCGTAGAGGGAACAGATCTTCGGACTGAACTCATGCATAAGCTTCATGACGTTAAACAGACTCGCTGTCAATCCATTTAATATTTCATGTGATTTGATATGAAGGGAGACGTTCCCTCGGTGTGAGCTGACAGCAGCTCCATGCGTCCTGACGTGATAAGTGGATTAAATGGATCAGCTTCATGTTGAGCGATAAGCATCACCATGTCTCTCTGTCTCCCTCCTGACAGGTTTTGAGTACTTCGAAGCGAGCGCTAAAGACAACATTAACGTGAAGCAGACCTTCGAGCGGCTGGTGGACATCATCTGCGAGAGGATGTCGGAGAGTCTGGACAACAACGACCCGACCGTCACCGGAGCCAAGCAGGGGCCCCAGCTCAGCGAGCAGCCTCAGAGGTCCCACCAGGACTGTGCTTGCTGAACACCACCACACACTGCTGTCCTGACATCCACACACCTTTTTAGATTCTTTTTAGTTTGCTTTCTGTTTCTTCTATGAACATAAACAAGTTGACTACACATTGAGACACTGCCATACACTGACACACTGGCTGCTTGAATTCTGCACCCCTCTGCAGCCACATGAGCCCCCAAAGATGTGGCGTTGGCAGAAACGCCGTCTTAAAGCTTTTGCTATTTTCAGTAATACAGAGATGATGTGACGGTGCTCATCCAGTCAGAGGGGTGAAGAACGTTTACCAACTATCCCATCCCACATAGTCTGTCTTTCATACTGCTGTATGTACATACACAAGCATTCACACGATCCTGTATCTGACCAGAGTTCAAAAAGAAAAGCAGAAAGGCCGTGCAGGGCGACAGCGACATCACTCCTGTTGGCGTGTCTGTAACCGGGTTGTGAAGGAGCGACGTTCTCCTGCAGCCTCAGGTCCCACTCTGACCTACATGGATCCAATCATTTGTTCTACTTTTAGTCCCACTAAGAATATATGTCTGTTGCCGTGGATACAGCTTCTTATTTCCTGTTCTGAGCTGGTCAGGTGTGTGTTTGAACATTCCCAGTGCTGTGTTCATCATTACGGCCCAAGCTCGACGTCCAAACAGCGTGCTTGGAGAGTTTTTCATTTGTTTGATTGGAGGAATAGCGAGGCGGTGCATATCAGTTTTCTAGTGGAGTCGTATATTTCCTGTTAGATGGTTAATTTGGGGCCCTGCTCAGAGCTTTTATCAGCAGCATCGGTGGCAGCAGAGCCTCTGGGCTGCTCGGTTTTAGATATTTAGTCTGTTTTTTTTACTTCTTTTGTTATTGTTTTTTAAAGAATCCCCAAAAATACGAGGATCCAAGTGTATAAATGTTTAAAAGTCAATAGGGATGCATTTTTAAATGCAGATTTAATATATATACATAGAGGATAAACATATGAGGTGATAGGGAGGACTGGGCACGCTGGGTTCCGACCTGTGCTAGTGAGAGGTGCATGTTGTCGATGTTTTTAACTGATTCTGGTCGACTGGATGCTTATTTGTATGAGCCGTTGTCTGAATTTAAAGCCCATCTGTCCTACGGGTTCAGGACTTGGAGGTACCGAATGGGGCTAAAGGTTTCAGATGTTAAGCCCGTGACCCCTTCACATTGTATTAGCTTTCATACAGTGTGCAACATGCACTCAGCAGAAAGGCATGTGGTGCAGCACAGACCTGCCATCTCCATCAGATAGCCTCTGACGTCTTGTAGATGATCTCTTTGTCTTTATTTCTGGCGGAATATGATGTTTGAAGCATGTTAAATGTCAAGCTGTGAGTCTTATTTCTGTCTGATGCTACGGTTACGGGACTCCTCCTCAGTACAGACCTTCTGTCAGTCATGCGTTCACACGTGCGCTGAGGCATGCACCAATAGTTTCGCCACGTAAATTATTTATTTTGTATTATTTATAACTTATTTATTTTTAAGGTAGTGTTCTTCCCAGAGTCCGCTGCATTCTGCACTCGGCTTTCTAGAGAGATGTTCACCAGTATTCAGCTTTGAAACGGAAACCATGAAAATGCGTGTTTACAGCCTGAGAAGCTTCCTCAGGAGGAGACTTAAACATTCCAGAGTGAGAAGCTCTTATCGTCTCCACGTGGCTTCGCTGGGACGTTTGTTTCTCTTTTCATATCAGTTATGTAACTTAGGAGTGTAAAAGCACTCCACCTTCAAAAGTCCACAAACATGCATCCCTGCTGGAGGTCTGTAAAGCAGGCGGCGCACCAGGGTGTGAATGTAGAGTTTCTAAAGGGATTCGGACGAATTATTCTTCCCTCAGAGGTCTGAACACTAAGCTTAGAGCCAAAAACAGCGCCTGTGTTGTCAAAGCATTCTGCTGGTTCTCCTTCAGACAGGGAGTGTTTCTAGGCAGTAATCTGAATACTCTGAACACATCCTTAAAAAGTCACTCTCATCACATTTGTTCACCTTTGACTTGTTTGTTGTTGTTGTTTTGTTACTTTATTTATTGTGTTTTGCTACAGCTGTAAACTTGCCGATGACTTAGGAATACTCCTCCTCCTCCTCCTCCTCCTCCTCCCTGCCTGTCATCAGTAGCCCTGTACATAGGACCTTTCTGCCCGTCAGGCGTTAGTTGTGTGAGTTGTGCTGTAATTCTGTAATGCCAGGTTTACAAAACGGAGGAATCAATAAACAAATTGTAACAGCAGCAGTTGTGTGATGTTTCAGGAAGGGTGTGAGGGTAACCTGTAGTGTGCCCAGCAGAGGGCACAATGCTGCAGTAATGTCTGCTTTTTGTACCCTCAGACTGGTTTGACCATCTATGGCTCGGTTCAGCTCCTCTACTGCACTAAACAGCGTCCACACATGATGCACTGAAGACCAACCAGCCAGTTGCCTTTTGTTGTCCAAAGCAAAACACGTGAGCTCTTAGTAATGTAGTGAATTTAATAAATGTCAGGTAGACTCCATTACACATGGATACATAGGGCTTCAGCACGTACACATACATTCATGGAAGTTTGGCGACTGAACATCTACACGGCAGCCACCAGGATGGGGATACAACGGTTACTGTACACAAGAGCCACGAGATATGCAGCGTTCAGAAAACAAGGAATAAGACCATATGTAAAATAAGAAATGTTTCAGTAAATAAAATATATATTTATCATTGCTAAGTGTTTGTAAACAAGTAAGGCATATATTACAGGGTGGATGACAGCACCTGGTGGCACCCTGGTGTTTGGTTGCACCCTTGTTGAGATTGTCCAGCTTACACACACATAACGCGGTCCGGTACAGTCCAGGGACAGCAGTCTGCTACATGGCTTTCTCTACACTCAGTCTTGTTCTCAGCTCCCCCAGAACCAGAACCAGGCTGCGGTCCATACCTGCTGCCCTCTAACCTTTCGTTTTCCAGTTGACTCTTACAGCTCAGCCTTTACAGTGTCACTGAGTCTCTGATAAGGATTTGTCGGTTACAGAAGGCAGAGTGTTCCTTTTATAGCGCAGGCCTGTGTCCTGGCAGCTGTAAAACATGAAGAGCACCGTTAGTACGCCTGGACCTGGTTCGGTAAAAGCTGGCACCCGCTGCTCACATGGTTCATCACCTTCTGCTTGAGCTGGGCCACTTGCTCCCTGAGGACGCTGGCTGTGGAGGCCAGCTCGGTGTTCTGCGTCTTCAGGGTCTTGACCTTGTCCTCCAGCCGAGAGATCCGCTCCAGTTTCCTCTTGCGGCATTTGGACGCGGCTATCCTGTTGCGCAGCTTCTTCCGCTCCGCCTTGATGCGCTCCTGGTTGTCCATGTCGATGGGGGACAGAGGGGGGCTGTCCCCGAAGCTCTGCATGTCCGGTACCGTCTGCGGCTCGTCTTTCACCACACCGACCGACTGGAGTCGTGACAGAGCCGCCGCGGCCGCCGCCTGCTGCTGCGCGCTGCTCAGATGAGCCGGAGGCGGCGGGAAGGGGATGGTGTCCGTGGAGTAGTTGATGGTGGTGGCTCCCAGCGGGCTGGCCGCATAGCCGTTCAGCGTGGTGTACACCGGGAGGTCTGGGGTCTGGAGCCCGGCGGACGCGGCGGCGTTGGAGGACCCGAGGAGCTCCAGTCGATCCACGGAGACGCAGCCCGCCTCGTTCAGCTGGTTCTGCTTGTGGAGGTCCTCCAGCGCCTTGACGAAACCCTCCGCGAACTCCTGCTCGTCGCTGGCCGACTTCGGGTAGAGGAACTGGGAGGTGGAGCTGGTGGTGGTGACCAGACCGTTGGACTGGATGATGAGGCGCTCCAGGTCCGGAGAGGTGAGTTTCAGGAGTCCCAAATCTGGAGAGTTCAGGAGTCCGTCTGCGTCCCGGAGCGGGTTGGATTTGAGCTCGGAGTTCTGGTCGTCCAAGTTCAGATTAATTTCCTTCTTCATCATCGTGCTCTGGGAGTAGATGCTGGAGACCCTCGGAGTGTTGAGCGCGGTGCCTGGGTAGAGGGTTGTTTCCATTCTACACCCTCATCGGAGGGAGTGCTGCGCGTTACGCATTAACGATTGTTCAACAGGCTCCTCCAGACATGAGGAAATCAGCTGATCCTGCTTTTATACCGCCCGTCTCCTTTATCCCGTCTCTGTCCGCTATCAGTCCCTCTGTCGGACCGCTGGAGCTGCTGCCTGAGGGGCTCTGCTGTGTTCCTCCTGCGCGCCTCTGATATTGTCTTTTCCCGATGGCACGACTGCTATGCGCAGCGCCAGACCTCGCTCGCTTTCTAGCCCTAAAAATTCCATTATGTCACTCCAGAGCGCGGAGATTGGCCCAAAATGACGTTGATTTCCGGTTCAATTTGAATAAGGGGCCGAGCCGGTCTTTATTGCCATGGAGACTGGAGGTAAACTACAAACAGTGCAATGCATTGTGGTTTGATGTCATAGCATAAAAAAGCTCTGGGTCGCCAAAAGAGAGCAGAGACTGGGCGGGGAAGGCGTAAGAGGCGAAGGCCAAGGAAAGGAAGAACAGAGGAACAGGCTCTACAGAAAATGTCCCTTCAGCTCAGGCCGAGGCAGGTTTTAGTAGAACAGACAGACGAAAGCGAACAGGAGGAGCAGGGCAGAACCGTGATCTGGTTCTGTGGGTTGAAGTTCAAACTTTAATTACAGTGATACTCATCAGACTTTGGCTCCAACACCTCCACATGCTGATAAGTTCAACTTTCACCTAAATACGACCAGAAGAGACCTAAAATGAGATACTGTGACGTTTCAGAGTCCGTTGAAGGTGTTTCTGGTTAAACTGAGCGTTGACTAGAAAAGGGAAGGAAGCGGCAGAATGAGGAAACCGCTGCTTTCTGTGATTGAAGGAAAGCTGGTGGAAGCGTTTTTATGGCTGGTGGATCCTGAGCTCCCTGAATGTTCCACAAATCAGAGAAACCACAGAAATGAAACCTGTTTGTATGAAATATAGAAAGAAAGTATTCACATGAGGCACCAGCGTGAATCCAACGTGTGACAGTGTAGGACACAATCTAAAACAGACAAACTGTAAATGGAGCCCTGTGGTGGAAACTACAGTAGAATATTGTTATTCCGCCCATGCACAGCGAGGACGTCAGCAGACCGTCTGCATCAGCACCACAGAGCAGAGAGGGCATCATTAGTTTCCATGGCAACACTGACACAGTGAGTGACGCAGGCAAGACGAGGAGAGAGAAAGGTGAATGGGTTGAGGGAGGAGGAGGCAGCAGCAGGAGGAGGGGCTGGGCGGCTGCAGTGCAGGTTGTGTAGGTGGTCGGCGGAGGTGTGAAGCGTGTGATGTGGTTCAGAGGCACAAATCAGAGCTGGTTCTCAAACCTCAGTGTCACTCACATCAAAGAGAGGATGTGCTGGAGACGTCCGCCTCGTCCTGCAGCCGATGGAGAGAAGAGTTTCTCCGCTGTGCCACTCGCAGTGTCCAGAATGTGTGAGTCATTTCACAACCCAGGGGTGTGGACCAGAGAGAGAAGAAGAAAACAGAGCAGCTGTTCCTATGAGAGGACGTCAGATTAGCTTCATGAGGAGGTTTGTCCTCCAGGTAGTCCAGGCTGTCAGCCACAGTTCCTGCTCCACTCAGCCACAGTCCTTTGACTTTTTTAACTCTCTCGGGACTCGGACTCTCTGGGTTGGTTCAGCAACACCCCGTGTCGCCCTCACGCTGCTACAGTGCAGACATTCACACATGGGAGCTGCCCAGTAAAGCCAGTGAGCTGCTCCACTAGGGCAGCTGGTCGCCAGTTAAACGCTCACTTGTGGACTCTCTCAGTGGCTCATTGAGAGGAGGAAGGCTGTTTTTAACACTCTAGCTGCCCATTCATAATACTTCCTCTCTGAGCTTTCATCTGCTCACCCAGTGCTTGCTTTTCATTTCCACTGGGGCCCTTTCTGCTCCATTAAAACACTCAGATTAAGAGGATCCTGGTTTTTATTTCCCTCCTGTTTTCAAAGAGAGACCTTTCTCCTGATGCAGAAGGATGTCATTCAAGTCCTTGTTTGTTGATTTCTTCATCTCCAGGATGAGCTGCATTCCCAAACAGCAGATGGCAGTGTGATCCATCTGTATCTGGTTTGTCATTTCCTCTCAGCTGTGGACCAGAAGAAGACGGCAGCAGCCAGCGCAGACAATCCTGGGCTTCCTGTTTGGGATATTTGATCCCCTTATTATTCATCTCAACAGCTCCAGTCACAGCAGCCGAGGACCATGGCCCATAAGAAGAAAGTAGTGGTGACAGGTGAGAGGTTTGTCCCGGGTCAGAGGGCTGGAGGAGGACACACGTGGCTCTGAGTGTTTCTGGATCACTACAGTGCTGTTAGATCTCACTCAGAGTTCTGTGTTTACGTCCGAGCAGCTCCGTGGACATGACTGCTGTGATTTACAGTGTTGTTATATGATTGATGCTGCGGTCCAGACACAAGGCTTTTGTCTCCTGGCTGTGAGAAAGAAGCCGTCCTGTGTCTGCTGTGCGTCATGTGCTGCCCTACGATTAATGTTTAACTGATGTAACCTTCAGACTCTGAATGAAAAGGCCCTTCTTCTCACATCCACCACTACCATGTCTCCTCCACCAGAGATAAGCACCCCCTCCCTGATCGATGGTCCTGACAGCTGATCACTCTTGTTTTTCTTGTGCAGGTTTTGAGCCCTTTGGGGAGCATGCAGTGAACTCCAGCTGGGTGGCCGTGCAGGTAATCAGTCATCAGGCTGTTAATGCTGAACAGAGCTGCAGCTGAGGACTTGTGCTTCAAAGTAAATGTGTTGTTTAAGTAGGAAGAGTTATGTGCTTTCACTTAAAGTGGAGTTTTTTTCTTTTATTTGTAATTGTTGGCTGTGAAACCCTTTAAGATTGTAGTTAATTCTATGTACATAGCTTCACAGGTTCATTAGACCACCACCCAATGGCAGGTTGTTGTTTTGTTTTTTTTTATTCGATTTATTTGGAAGAACATATTGATGAACACAGACAGTACAGGGACAGATTTAGCTTTTAGCTCGCTTCCAACTGTAGACCTCGTTATAAATAAAATAATAAACATATGGTTTCATATTAATCATGATACAGTCATACACTATGCCCTAAATCATGTCCTATGTTTCTGTAACAGTTAACGCAACTGTATGTAGAAGCTCTTTAACCAAAACCATGTTTTTGATGCTAACATATAATAAATATTATTGTTGTTATCCAGGAGTTTTCAGATTTACTGTTTTACAACAAAACTGAAAAAATCCTAAAGCCATTAATATTTATTGATTAAGACATCAAACTATAGTTATTTACTCACATTCCTGAACAGAATCATTAGTTTCAGCGGTTGCATGTTGTGCTTGATTCATTGATTTGAGAGTTGGGTATTAAAGGAGAATTCAGTTTAAATTCCTTGTTCCTGTTCAAATTGATGAAACGTGGAGAGCTGAGCGTGATTGAAACTCTTCATGATGCTGGATGGTCTGTGTATATACGCTGGACAGGTGGTCTGATCAATGCACTGTAACTCTACGTTGTGTTTGCAGGAACTGGAGCGACTCGGACTGGGCGAGGACGTGGATCTGCACGTGTGTGAGATTCCTGTTGAATACCAGGCTGTTCAGAACCTCCTGCCGTCTCTGTGGAGGGAGCAGCAGCCACAGGTAGCCGTGGACATGAACAGCACTGTGCATACGACTAGACTTTAGTGACATGTTGATAAAATCCTCGACTTAAAGAATCCCACAGCTGACCTGATGTGTGTTTTGGTGTCCTGGGAGCAGCTGGTGGTCCATGTTGGTGTTTCTGGGTTGGCCACCACAGTCACTCTGGAGCAGTGCGGCCACAACAAGGGCTACAAGCGTCTGGACAACTGCAGCTTCTGCCCAGCCTCCCAGTGCTGCATGGAGAACGGACCGGACTGCATCAAGTCGGTGCTGGACATGGACGCCGTCTGCAAAAGGGTGAATGAGTCGGACATCGGGATCGCTGTGTCTGTATCTAAGGATGCTGGAAGGTGAGTGGTGGTACTGACACGTGTGCACGCTCTGCACATGTTGTACAGAGTCCAGTCCTGCACATGGTGTCAACACACACTGTGTTCTTCACCGCCAACAACTGACCTGTTGTTGTAGGAAAAAGTGCGTGTGTTACCGTGGAAACCCCCACTGGGTCAGACATGCATGTTGTCTTCTTTAAAAATCACCAAAATGACAGTGTTTAAGAAGAAGAATCAGGTTTCTAACTCCTGAACTAATCATCCGTGATGTGTCATTCACATCTGCTTCAACTGTGATCTTTCATCAGAATCACATTGTTTTACGTTTCTCATTTAAAGTATGACCAAAATAAAAACAGATCCAGTCAAAATTAAAAATTCTGTGCTTCTCGGCAGAACTGAGGAACTATCAGTGACTCGCTGTGACTAACATCCATGTGATCAAACATTCAGAGATGATCCAGCTAAACTGGGCTGAACTGCAGGATGTGTTCATATCGTATTTATATTAAGTACAGTCAGATTGGGTTTTTTCCAGTTTTAGTCACACCTGTGGGCAAAAAATGCTGAACATTTTGAATTCAACTTTTATTTTTATTTTTGTAAAATGAACAGCCTTTACGTTTTTCTTTTAATGATTCATGACGTTAAAACTGTGTTATTCTGTACAGAGTAGAAGTTTGAGTTCTCTCCCACAACAGGATTTCATACTGCAGTGAAAATGAGCCCACAGTGAATAAAAATGAGACAGAAAAACAAAAAAAGGAACCAGAAACTGTTTGGGGTTCAGAGGGCTGATGAAGACTGTGTTCTACTGTCACAGAGTCTCAGACACAACCTGAAGAGCCAACAGGACTCCAAACGCTCTGCTTGCTTTTCCTACTGCGACACGTCAGAACATCTTTAGTGAACAAAGTCTGAACCTAAAGTTGTGTCCTAACCTGTTCTCAGATGTCTCTTATAAACTGATGCAATAATTTAAATGAGTGTGAAACAGGAATAACAACCGTAACATATAAAAATCTACCTTTCATGTTGTAAACAGTAAATCTATCTCTACAAGGCAGTCCTACTGACATGCCTGTTCTAAAGGCTGCTGGCTACAGATGCAGTCGTTTGTTCTGAAGTGGACACAGCAGTGTTGGTGATGTAGAGGTCTGTTATATATGAGAGATAAATGTGTGGGATTTGTTAAAGCATGAGGCTCCTGCGCCCTTGATTTCTGTTGCTGGGTAGAAATAAGTCAATATTTCCTTTACATAACCTCCGTGCTTCGCCCCGGCAGGTACCTGTGCGACTACACCTACTACTCGTCTCTGTACCTGGGGCAGGGCCACTCCGCCTTCGTCCACGTGCCTCCGTTAGGGAAACCCTACAGCAGCCAGGACCTGGGCCGAGGCCTGCATGCCGTCATCCAGGAGATGCTGCAGCTGCTGGAGCAGGACCACACTGTGGAGGAGCACCTACACAACGAGCACTGCAACCATTCGCATTAACACCAACGCTCACGACTGACTCACAACCTGAGCAGAGCCGGCTGACCACAAACGGCCACTGGCTCGTCGCAGCAGCTTAATCAGTGTCAGATGTGAGGAGAGTAAATCAGTTTTGATTCAGTTGTGTGGCTCAAAAAAAAAAATCAACAAGCTGTGATTTGCTGTGGACCAGCAGCTCCAGGAAACAACAGCATGATTCACATCCGAGTGGTGTCTGGACTTAAACATCCTGAAGGTCTGCTGTGGACGCTGACGCCCGACTACAGCATCTGTTTAATGTAGTCTGTGTATCGATGTGTTTCTGATGTGCATGAATCGTTGGCATCAGTGAGTCTTTGTCATCCAGCCTCTGATCTTCCATCAGACTGTGAAAATAGACGTTTATGGATATATCATTGTTGCATCATGGGGTTTACGCGACTGTACGAGTATGTAACGAGTAGCACTAACGAGGTAGTAGTCCTAACTTCAGCTTATACGTGGTGACACACTGTGTGCACTTTCACAGCTCAACTCACCTGCATCACAGCCACAGCTTTCCCCTCTCCGCCGCCGAGTCCGTCCTTTCAAGTGTGTCTAAATATGCCGTCATTCCCTCGTTGCTACTTGTGTCTGAACCAGAACAATGTGAACAAATAACAGAAACCTGACAAAAAATGTGTTTATCTCAGGGAATATATTGCACATGCAATCATGAAGTGATCTGATGACCATGACCATGTGTTGCTCCTCTGTATGTAGCTTTACCAGGCAGAGCCAGCGTGACACTGTGTATGATTAAAGCGCTCCACACAGGTCTGGACTCTTTGGCTTGTGTTGGCCATTTTCACACTGCAGCAGCTTTTGAAATTGTTTTTTGAATTGTGTTTCTTTTTGCTTTAGGGATTTACAAGTCAGGGGGCATGTTCCAACATGAACACCTTAGCACCTGTGGCTTTCACTGATCAGCTCGTAGAGGTGCCTGTCACGGGTTCATAGCCTCCTCTGGTGTAAAGTTGAGTTCCATCCTTAGCAAAAGCAGTCAGGTCAGCCTCACCTGACGAAATCAAACTCCTCCCTGTGAACTGTAACTTAAGTCAAAAAAGCTGTTTATACTTTTTGTTTTTACTGGTTCACCATCTTAATACAAAGATTGTTCAAAAAAAGAGACAATTATGACAGCCTGGCATATTTCAAACCATCAGTTTGTCCTCTGTGCTGGTGTAACCGCCATTCCTTTGTCCGGTGTGCTGTTACAACCACGTCTTTATTGCTCTATTTACTTACAGATTCCTCTGATGCGAGTCAGTTTGTGGTAACACTGGGTGCAGTACGCTGTGGCTGAACATACCTGCTGAACTTGTTCTGACCTGACGGATCGTTCCAGGACGGAGAGCAGCAGAAGTATCGTGACGTTAAAAAAGTGGAAATGTAATTACTGCCACGGTTCTTACTCGAGTGCGTGACTGGTCCTACGATTGGGCAGAAGAGGGAAAGTATTTTCTGAGCTGTGTTGCTCTGAACAAAGGGAAGTACCGGGTTTATGACATCGTCAGAAATGCCCTGTCCTTGTTGGAGCTCTCAGTCGGGGGTAAATGAGGATAAAGCTGCAGTAGTAGCATAAATAAAACGAAAGAAAAACACCTTCAGGGGAGTCCAGAGTAAGAAAAGGAGAAATGCACAGTGAAGTATATGCTCATAAAGTGGGAATTTAAGAAAGTCATGATTATCTATACTCTATAGATTCATCCTATAAAGGGCATTATGTACAGTGGTTTGGTGTTTTTACTTTCCTGGCATGTTTTTATTAACTTGGATGTCGTCAGTGATATTATTTATCAGTATTGTGTTCATCATGTTATGTTTTGCACATTTACCATACCATTTTATCCTATTTTTAGCATGTTGTTTTTACACATGGACAGGTACAGTAGATGGAGGTTATTGTTACCGACCAACCATGAGTCATTTACTGTTTGATTTATATGTTCATCAGTCAAACTAAACTAAACAAAACCCTCATCCATCTACCGTCCAGAGACAGGTCTGGATGAATGCCGGCTAAGCAGATGACAGCTCCTTCTCTCAAATTCATTCATTCATTCATTCATTCATTCATTCATTCATTCATTCATTCACTCACATGGAGCACATTGAAATATGAAGGATTATTTTACAATGCAGTAAGAAATAAAAGCTGTAGGCGCACAAATAATAAACGAGGACAACAACAGGTTATTGAAAGGCCAAGTTAGTGAAATAAAAACATATGAATCAACTAAAACAAAAGCAGCTGGAAGTAAATTAAATTAAAAACCTGTAATAAATATAAAAATTAGTCAAACTTTACATTGCTCTGCAGGGTATTTATGGAGTAGTGAGAGTGCCAAATTACAAAAATAAATCAATAAAAGAATAATAAAACTTTTTAAAAGAATTAATAAATAAAAAATAAATAATGTGGCAACATAAATTAATATTAATCAAAAATGAATCCATAAAAAAAGCTAATAAAAGTGTTGGTGTTATGTATTATTGTCCAGCTCTTTGGTTGGTCATCGGAGAAAAGGAGGAGAGACTAGAAGTGTCGGACCATCAGTCCAGGCTGAGCCGCCACAGGGAGTCAGGATATATTATCCAGACTCACGGAATTAATACTGATCAGGTGTATTTATGCTCCCTGTCTCCGAGCTTACCTCCTACATTTTTTTTAAATTTTACTTTGAAAAGATTACAGCGAACAGTTTAATTTTCCTTTGAACATCTGACCTTGTTGCAGTTTAAACTTGGAAGTTTTTATTAGAAAACACTTTTGAGGCCTCATTCGTGACTAACTGTCCTTCTCCTGCTCCCACTTGCGTCCTTGTCTCCTCTCCTGGCTCCCTGCAGGTGGTGGCGGAGGAGAGGAGGCGAGCGGCGAAGGGAGACGAACGGAACGCCGCCGCAGTCGGAGCTCCCTGTCTGCCTCTCTCTCATCGCCGCTGTTTGTCGTTTTCCATCGGTATCCCGTCTCCGGTGCTCGCTTTCTCCCGGAATAGCAACAGTTTGTGGAACATCGTCGCGACGGCGGGAAACCTTCCGATAAGCAGCCACCGCCATGAGTGTCGAGGCGTACGGGCCGAGCTCGCAGACGCTCACGTTCCTGGACACCGAGGAAGCCGAGCTGCTGGGAGCGGACACCCAGGGCTCCGAGTTCGACTTCACCGATTTCACCCTGCCGAGCCAGACCCAGACCCAAGGCCAAACCCAGAGCCAGCTGGACGGCCAGGTTCGTGAGGTTCTTGTGGCCGGAATACGCGTCCTACTGTGTTGACAAAATGAGAACTAGCTAACGTTAGCTAACAACATCGGCTAGCTCGATGACGCTGTCACCACGCTTTTATCCCGCTAATTGGCTAGCACGCTAGCTAGCTAACAGGCAGTTAGCATGCCGACAGGGCTAGCATGTCAGCACTTATTGCCATATGAAGCAGCAGTGGCAGACATTAACGGTGTGGTAGAGCAGCCTAAACGCCCTAAACATGCTCACTAGCAGGTAAATGTGTAAATACAGGCTGTGTGTGCTGACAACAACAACAACCACAGGTTAGCTAGCTTCATACAGTCAGTGTTAAATTACTGCTAACTAACCGTTCACTGGAGACAGTGAGCTGGACTGCGAGTGAACTGTACCCCCTCATAAGGCTTTGTTTAAGTGGCTGGCTGTCCATTGGTAGTTAAAGTTGACAGCTAGCTTCAGCTCCTGTCTGACTGTGTGTCTCCTCAGGTGAACGGACCTGACGGTGTGCTGCAGAACGGAGATGATCCTGTGGTGAAAGCCAGTCAGCTGCTGGCAGAGCTGAACTTCGAGGAGGATGAGGAGGACACCTACTATACCAAGGACCTACCTGTGCACGCCTGCAGGTGAACGGACTGGTCTGCCATTCGGTGGACAACGGTCATGTGTCAGGATTTGATGTCACTCAGGAAATGGGTTTTTTAGTAATTTTTTTTTACTGCATGTTGTGTCTGTGGAATGTGAGTGTGCTTGGTTGTCTGTCTCTAAGTGTAGCCCTGTGATAGACTGGTTACCTGTCCAGGTGAACCTGCCTTCACCCTGAGTCAGCTGGAATAGACTCCGCCCCCCATGACCCCAGTGAGGATGAAGGTGTAGAGATGATGGATGGATGTTGTTGGT